AATTCAGCCCATAAAAAAGCTCTTTCAAAAGTCAGTAAAATATGGGATATCTCCCTTTTTCCTCAACATTTTTGTGACATTATGTTTTAGTTTTGTCATCTGCATGTGTGTACATTTGTGTATATGCATATATGCTTGCATATATACTTTTTAGAATCAATTTTAAACTATGGATTTTGCCCGATAAGCAATAACATTTTTATTTACTATGATTTCAAATACATTTAAATTTGTTACCATTGTATTAACTTTTTCCATTAACCAAAATTTTAATTTATTTTCTTGCCTTCTTTTGAATTGATCGTGTTTTTCTGAATTAAAATTGTATATTTCTATTATTTTAGTCACTACACTTAAATTTTTGAGTTTGTGATTTCTTGACTGGCATAAGCCAAGTGTTTTCATTAATTTTGTACCTTGGGATTTCTATACTTCAATGATCATGTAAATTTAAATCTCACATCTACACATGGTCTTTCCAGAATCAACAGCATACATTTGTGTGGGTTCCAGGCATATTTGCTCACCTCTAAACTCTTCATAATTACATCCAGTTAGATGCTTTTCCTTTATAAATGCTCTTCCTGTTTTATCTTTTTTTAAAAAATTTTGATTTGATTTTTTTGTTTGTTTGTGGGCATCATCCTATTCATTTGCTCTAGACTGAGATTCCCTTACCAACCACATAGTCCCTTGCTCTCCTAGTAAATATATTGTTTCTTCCACATACTTTTCCAGAAAACAGATTACTTAATACTTTCTATTGTTTAGAGGATTCTAAGTCTCTAAAAATCCAAGTTTTTTTTCTAACTAGATTTAGTTATTACACCCCAAAACATTGTAACCACTTCATGTGGATAATTTAGATCAGGTTATTTAGCCTCTATTCAACTTGTTTAGTCTACATGGTATTTTCTTCTAAAATTTGAAGAATTGGAATCTCTACCAATTCAAAAATAACTAGAATTCTCATTCTAGCTCCTCTTAGTCCTGGGTATGCCATTCCATAAAAGACCTAGGTCTATGTTCTTTGCAAAACACCAGATGTCTTCTCTTCTTTTGGTGAATGACTCATTGAAAGTGTTCTTAAGTAATTGTTCCACAGGAGACAAAAAATTGGAATGATTTGAATGTATCTCCTAACTTTTTAGAGAAAATAGTTTTGTTTTTAAAAAAATAATGACTTCATGAATTACTGTTTATTGTATTATATATCATACTAGTGTAGTACATTTTATGTACTTTAAGTAGCTAGCAAGTGGTTTTTATTAAATAATATGATAGAGACATATGATTTATTTTAAAATTTTTAGTCATAGGTCCTTCCTTAAATGGTCTTCATTTATTCCTATGGGCACCTGGGTGGTTCAGTTAAGCATCCAACTCTTGATCTCAGCTCAAGTAGTTGTGAATTAAAGCCCTGCATTAAGCTCCATGCTGGGTGTGGAGCTTACATTAAAAACAAAATCTTCATTTATTTCTAATATTTTTGGATATATTAACATACATGAAATTAAGAATATTCTCTAGAAAAGAAATTCTCCGGAGTCAGTTGTCCAATATATGGATGATGGATAGCCAGATAAGTGATGAATAAATAATTAGATAGTACATACCCTTTCCACAGATAAAAATGCAGTTTAAAATTCTTTACATTAGATTATTCCCATACACACAAATTCCAAATGTGCACCAATATTTATGTGCAAGATATGAGAAGATAATGCTATTTTAATTTTATTTATATATAATGTGTTTTATATGTAGATGTCTATAATAAAATTATGTATAAAATAAATATAAATATGCATATATGTATAGTGTGTGTATATATGTATAGTCTGTGAGCCAGAGCCTTAAAGTTGAATCATTTTTGTTAATGATTAAATTTAAAGAAATTCTCACTCATTTTACAAAGTATGTTTAGAACACAAAATGAACTTCATAGTTTCGAGAAATACATATTCTGTCTATGTTTGAGATGCACATTTAAACATTGATTCATTTCTGATGCTTGAAACAAAAGCCAGCAAATTATCTAATACAAGAACTAAAACATAGCTTATGGAGTTATATTTAAGGTTCAGATTTTAGCACTACTTATATTTAGTACATCATCCTTCATTTTGTATATTCATGAGCAAGTAAAAAGGTTTTACATTGTTTTTTAAAAACTCATTCCAATAAATGTTGAGGACACTCAACTAAATATGGCTTTTAATAAAGCACCTTTCCTAAAATGGAAGATAGGATTTCTGTCTGAGCTATTCATGAACTCAATTATCTTACAATAAACTATATTTTATTGCAAATGAAAATGCATTATACATGACATTCCAGTCTCAAATAAAAGCTGTCTATACCTCTTCAACTACATGTCATTGTCATGTAGTTCCTCGTGCAGTGTGATCACTTATGTATAAGAAGGCACAGAGTAGACATTAAAGATCCCATGAAAGAAAAGAGCTATTTTTCTACCTTTTCATACAATCTGGCTAAAAAAAGCTTTGTGTTTCTTTAGCAGAGGAAGTCAGGAAAAGAGTGAGCCCAAGAATGCTTTCATCTTCTTCGTGTATACCTCCTCATAAATACCTCTTTTGCCCCCGATCAGAAAAATGTCACATGTAAAAAACATCAAACTTTACCTCAAGTAGATTTCATGCAGGATATATCAAATACTGTTGATGCATTTGGATTTTCAAAGTTTTAAGGTTCTTTGGAATAAACAAAATCACTAAAGAAGAAACAGCATCGTATTTGTGTTGCATAGAAAATGTAGAGAAGAGGAACACTTGGGTGGCTCAGCCATTGAGTGTCTGCCTTCAGCTTAGGTCATGATCCCATGGTCCTGGGGATCGAGTCCTGCATCAGGCTCCCTGCATGGAGCCTGCTTCTCCCTCTGCCTATGTCTCTGCCTCTCTCTCTGTGTGTCTCTCATGAATAAACAAATAAAATCTTAAAAAAAAAAAGAAAAAAATATAGAGAATACACACACATACAAAACTGAAAATAATATTTACATCTGGACTGTAGATATGAAATACAAAGGTGTATATATCCTTGGGAAATACTTGAAATTTTGATTATGCTCAATATTAGTTAAAAAAATGAAGCATCTTAAAAAACAAAGTCGATTAAATGAAATACAAATAAAATGAATAAAGCAAAAGGTAATCTGTATGATTATATTAAAACCATATCTGTAAGGTATTTTCAAATTGTCACTTGACAGACAAGTTTTTAAAACCCCATGTCCCATTTTCAATAATTTTGTTCTGCTATTTTAGTATTTGCTTATGTTTAATGAGCCAAACATATTGACCAGGTGACATCCAAGTTAACATGTGGTCAGGGTACAAAAAGTAAGATGAGATATCATATAGATTTTGTCTAAACTTAAATAAAATGATAAAATGACAAATGAATATGATGAGAAACCTAAATTATTATGTGTATGTTATTGTTATTTGCAATATGTTTACTGTGGTTTCAGAGGAACAAATTATACTTCCATGAAATTTAGCTTCATCTCACTTTGCTGGATTTTGAAAGGCCAAAAATGTCAAGCTTTTGGGACTTATTAAGCTTTGTCTTTCAAAATGTAATATAAATTGTTTTGGACTTAAAAATATATCAAACAGGGGATCCCTGGGTGGCGCAGCGGTTTGGCGCCTGCCTTTGGCCCAGGGCGCGATCCTGGAGACCCGGGATCGAATCCCACATCGGGCTACCGGTGCATGGAGCCTGCTTCTCCCTCTGCCTGTGTCTCTGCCTCCCTCTCTCTCTCTCTCTCTGTGACTATCATAAAATAAATAAAAATTAAAAAAAAATATATCAAACATCAAACCTTTAGGACATAGTAAGTTTTGTCCTTAAATTTCTTTGTAAAAAATTATTTTGGACCTTAGGAGGAAATAACCAATACATTTTTACAATAATGATGTGTATCATCAAACTCCAAAAACATCTTTCCTCACTAGGATTATTAAAACTATAAGAATATTTTCACTAAAATGAATACTACATTTTACATAATACTTCTAAATACTGGGAGATTTGCCTGTTTTTAAATGTTTATTTTATAGTTGGAAAACAGTAGAGTTATCACCCTGAGAGCCCCTCTGGGCAAGATACTACATGAAATCTTTCCCCAAAAGTTCTGGAATAAAGAATTTCTTAAAGAAATCTACCGACAACTGCAACCACCCCCTACATATGGTTGCACAGTATTTTAAGAGAATTTATTAAGTGAAACTCACCTAATTTACTAGTATTCAATCCTGAGTACAGCTAACTTGTCTATTGGGTTGTACTTTAATAGCTACAACAAAGTGCCAACATTAGAAGAAACCTCATAGCAACACCTTTTGTTAAAGTCAAAAACATTTCCAATTTTTCTGATAGTAAATTCAGATTGCTCCTGAATTGCTCAGATATGAAAAATTTCAATTTTGACATCTTACAAGTGGTAATGATGACAAGTTAGGGAAAGGCAGAGATTGAGCAAGGCTCTTTGAAGGCTTTCCCCTCATAGTGTTTGTATTTTCCAGCCAAATGTAAAAACGGCAAGCTCCTCCAAATAATGATACTTTCACTGACTTTTCCCTAATGTTCTATAAATTAGAGCCTAATGACAGTTAAGGTAAGTGCCTTCCCAGAAAAATCTGGCCATTGTCTAGGTTCTAGATGTGAGAGATGGAGTGGACTGAGGAAAGCAGCATGTATTACATGTGCCAGACTTATCATAGATCATTCCAGATGTTTTCTCTGAGTGCAAAACCCATTCTCTCAAAATTCCTGGAGATCATATAATCTCCTGAATTTTGAAATGAGAGATTTTCCACAATACTCAAATTAAAAAAAATATTTCATGATATTCTTTTTATTTCTATATATGGTATATAAAACTGGTAGCTTACAATAAGAAATATTTCTCATAAAGTAATCCCTATGTTCTTTATAGACTTTAATTTTGCATTACTTCAAGATATGTTAGAAAATGAAAAGATACAAGATCTCCAGTATGTTGAAGGGTTAAACGAACTAATTTGTTTTAAATTGGTGATTTCTCTGCCAGGGGTGTGACTACAGGTTAAAAGTGCTGAAGTCCCAAGTGCCTGACTGCCTTATTCTGAGAAATTCCCCATTCAGGGCTCAAGAGCAGTAAATTGCTTAGTGTTTCTCTGAGGAATCAGCTGGCATTCCCCGGTCTTTGCAAACTGGACAGCAGGTTCCTTTCACCAATTCAAGACTAGGACATGGAGCCGGTGGACAAGTCTTCACCACGCAGGTGACCTGGCCACTCTGAAAAGCAACATTCAAAGATTATTCATGTTCCTTACAGTGGAACTATCTTTTTAAAAGTTTCTTAAAGTATGTAATCTGATTGGCTGACTATCTTAATATAAAAATTAACTGAAGTATGAGCTAACTTTTACATGTAGTTCCTATTAATGCTTTATTTCTACATTTGCAGCTTAAAAAGTAAGGCTGGATGTACTAGACTATAAAACATTACCTCTCAGTCTGTAGGGCATGGGATGTGGGAAAAGGCAGGAGTGATTCATGTCAGCTCTGCTCAAAAAACAATAAAGACTGAGCTTTTTCCTTTTAGTGGATACCATTTAAATATTTTTAAATATTTACCAAGTGCTTTCAGGCAACATTTGTAGTGAGCCTGACTGGAGAATAAGGAGATGAATTCAAGACCCATTTCAGTCTCTGCTTACTTGTAGTGGTCTTGGGCAAAGCTCAGTAAACATCCTGAGTGTCAGCTCTCTCGATGATTAGTGAAAATGTGAAAAGCTCATATAACATTTGGCAAGTGCTCATTAGATAGTGGGCCTATTTACATCAATAATCGGAAACCTCAAAATCTCACATCAATATCTTGACTTGAAAAATATACCTAGAATCTATTCACAAAAAGAAAATCTTTTTCTTTTGTGAATTTTTCAGGTATGTCTCAATCAACAGGCTAACAGAAGTAAAAGAAGAGGAGAAAGATGGAAAAACTTCTAGCAGCACACACCTTACACATACAGCTGATGCAGTCTTCTTTCATCCAGTGTTCATTGTCTTTTCTTCGAATCCCTTTATCATCTGTGCATCCCGCCTGCCTGAGGTGTGCCTCCAGCTTGTTTATCTAGAAGAGGAGGCGAAGGAAAGGAAAGTGGGAATTGAAATAGTACCAACAAAGCAGATAACTAACACAGTTTGATCAAATGCTCTATTCTGTAACACACACCTAGAGGGCAAAAGAAACTTCAAAGCCAACATAATTTTTCCTAGCATTACTTTTTACCAAAAACTTAATGAATCTGAGTCATCCAGTGTCTAAGCTAATACATAGTTCCCTATATATGGCAAAATGTTAAATATGGATGTAATATCTGAAAGAAGTCAGTTATAAAAGAATGGAATTAAAATCAAATGAATAGAATTACATATTTGAAAAAAATCTTAGTAAGCATTAATATTAATTCAACAAATCAATATTTTATTTAATTTTTATACTTAGGTTATCATAAACAACATTCCTTGAACAAATGTTTATTAGACTTCAAAGATAAAGCAAATAATCCAGGGTCTCAAGGAGCTTAAGACTTAGTGGAGTAACAGACCAATAAATCACAGTGCTAAGCCAATTAGATAATGATGATATATCAGATGCAGAAGAAGAGCAGAAGATAAGCTTCTCCCAGTTCTGCTTCAGGAGGTAAGGGGAGACCTCGATGGGAAAAAGCATTTGAGCTGTAAGTAGATATATGACAAAATTTTTCAGGAGAACAAGCAGGGAAAAGGCATATCAGACAAAAGGGAAATTTTGGCCAAAGCATGGGGACCACAAACAGGTCAGGAATATAATCTGCTGTGGAGGGTAAAAGGCACAGGGGAGGTGTTGGTGAGAGTCAAGGCAGCAAGAAAACTAGGACCTTAGCAGTCCTATAAATTAATTTAGATAGTATAGTCTCTAGAGGATGGGGAAAATGGCAGTGATCACATAATGGCAATATGAAGACAGACTAGTGAAAGTAGAGAAAATGCAAGGAGGTCCACATGGGCTCAACAGAGAAAGGAGGACGTGAGTGAGAGTCAGCAAGAGACACTGAGTAGGTAGATGTGTTTGGTTGGATTGGGCTGGGGAAGGAAGAGAGAACACAAGATGACTCCAAAGTTCCAAGTTTCGTAAGGTGCATAAAGGATGGTGATGTTCACCAAGATATATCCTAGAGAATGTATTACAAAAGAGTAATGATCCATAGAGAAATTAAAGGTGCTTAATTGAGAAGAATTTTAGAAAGGATGAAAATAATACAGTTTTACAAAAGAAGCTAAGTCCAAGAGCATTGAATGACTTATGAAAGTTGCAGCTGCAATGCTATGGGCTGAACTGTATCCCCCCAAATTCCTATGTTGAAGCTCCCAATACCTCAGAATGTGACAGTATTTGGATATAAAGTCCTTAAAGAACTAACTAACTTAAAATGTGGTCACAGAGATGGGACCTAATCCACTGTGACTGGTATCCCTGTGAAAAGTGGAGATTAGGGTCCAGACATGCTGGGAAGTCTGTGTGAAGATACAAACCAAGAAGAGATACCATAGGAGAAACCAACCCTGTCAACATCTTGATCTGGGGCTTCCAGCCTCCAGAACTGTGAGAAATTATTTTCTGTTGTAAAGCCACCTCACCTGTGGTAGTTGTTATGGCTGTGCTAGCAATACATGTATCATTAGGGCTAGATCCCATATTACCCATATCCTCAAAAGACCTTTCTAGTGTATATCTAAGAATCATTATGATTTATCCTCTAGTGACTGTTCCTTTCAGATTCTCTGAATTCTGTTATTTGGTTGGAAATGATATAATAATTTCAAATACTTGACCATGACTGTTTGTATGTTGACAGAAACATTGTGCCCAAGGAAAATAAGGAGACAAACAATAGACCAGATTAGATGTCTTAAAGACCATAAAAGCAATGATTTGTTTTTAAATGGTTATTGAGCACCTGCTATTTGTCAACTAGTCCTAGGAGAAACTACAATGATAAATACTCCTGGTTTTCTATTCTTAAGGATTCTGCAATGTGGTGGAGGAGAGGGAATTTGTGCAAAAATAAATATGATACAAGCCCAGATGTTGTGTGCTATAAGAGTATATACATAACCAATATGGGATTTCAAGGAATTATTTTTAGAAAAATGCAATGGGAAAGGGAATAATCAGGGAAGAATTTACAATTTAAATGGTACTTGTGCTAAGCCTTAAATAAAGATGGCATTTAGAGAAATGGTAATGGTAGTTACCATTAATGGTAGTTTTCATGCACATGGGAATGTGGGTGAGAGGGACAGTACATTTCAGCTAGAAGAAAAATGTGTGAATGAAGTAAATAAGAAGGGAGGATGAAAAGTAAGTTTGGAAAAAAATTATGAAATGTGAGAAAAAGATTATTTGGAAATCAGATAAAAAGATGAGTTAGGACTGCATTTTCAAGAGCCAAGAATACCCATGAACTTGGAATTCATTAAGGAAGCAAAAAGTCTTGATGTAAAAGTAAACAAACAAATAAATAATATTGATTGTGTAAAATATTTTACAACATTTGAGTTGAAGTAGGATAGCAGAATGGGCCTTTGGGGATAATTTAGTTTTACAGTGCCTACACATGGGAAGGCACTGTAAAACTCATTAATTTATTCATTATGCAATAGGATTCTTACCTATCCAATATATGCCAGTTAAACACTGATGAACTAAAAGACTAAATCTCTGGCTTTATGTAAGCAATGATGAAGGAGATGATGATAAATTAAAAATTAGGGGGGGATGATAAGGTTCTACAACGACTAGATGTGGACTAAATTAGTCATTCCCTGAGTAGAGTCATGAGTGTGAGAAATAAAAATCATAAAATTCTGTAGACATATCAGTGATTATGGCCTAGAAGACTAAGACAAAAAAAAAAAAACACTTTTATTTCTAAAAATACTGAGAACATGAAAACATTAGGAAAGTTGAGTAAGTTCCAAAAAATAAAGAGTAGAACAATTCTAAGATATAGAAAAAATATTTACATGGTAACTTCTGTTGTCAAAGAGAAAAGTATTAGAGAGGAAAAGCAAATAGACAAATGATAGAGTCTACACATCTATTGTAAACTTCAGGCACTTAGAACAATAGTGTATTTTCAAGTGACAAAGAAATACTTTAAGGGAAATAGTCTGAGAACTGTCTATGTACCATAAATATAAGAGACAGAATGCACGATAAAATTTTGGTCTGGACTTAATTACAAAGTCGAGAATAAGAGGTTCTTTGATGGGGAGTCGGAGAACATGCTGGATCATAACTTTCCTTTCCCTATTTTCCCATGTACTTATTGCTAGTATATCAAAATACAATTTATTATTGTATATTTATCTTGTTTATCTTTTATCCTGTGACTTTGATGAATTTGCTTATTAATTCTAAGAGTTGTTTGGTAGATTTCTTGCAATTTTCCAAGAGGTAACTATATCATCTGGAAATCGTTTTCTTTCTTCCTTTCCAATCTGTAGACGTTTTTCTTTTCTTGCTTTATTGCACTGGTAGGAACTTCCAACACTCTGTTTAATAAGAATGGTGAGAATGGGCACCCTTACTTTATTGGCAATAGTAGGAGGAAAGCATTCAACCTTTCACCATTTAGCTTATTAATACAGTGGGTTACATTAATTACTTGATTTTGGAGGATTAAACAAGCCTTGAATTCCTCAAATAATCCCCATTTAATTATATAATTCTTTTGGTTTATTGCTATATTCTCTGTTAAAAGTTGTTGCATGCATATTCATGAGGGATATTGGTATGTGGCTTTCTTCTTTTGCACTATCTTTGACTAGTTTTGGTATCAGATTAATACTACTTTCAAAAATGATAAGTATTCCCTCCTCTACTATTACTGGAAAATTGTTCATTTTTCTTAAACATTTGATAAAACTTTGACATTTGAAGCCATCTGCACCTGAGGATTTGGGGAAGATATTTTTTTAATTAATAATTCAATTTCCTTAGCAGTTATAAAGCTATTCAAATTATGTATTTCATAATTGGGTGAATCACAGTAGTTTGTGCTTTTTAAGGAATTAGTTCTCTTGATCTAAGTTGTCAAATTTAGATGTGAAGATTTTTCCTTCTTTCTTCTTGCCATGAGTTTATTTAGCTGTTAATTTTCCAGGTTCTTGAGGTAAAAAACTTAGATTATTGATTTGAAAGGCATTCCTTTGGAGCACCTGGTTACCTCAGTGGTTAAGCATCTGCCTTTGGCTCCGGTTGTGACCCCAGGCTTGGGATTGAGTCCTGCGTCGTGCTCCCCTCAGGGATCCTGCTTCTCCCTCTGCCTGTGTCTTGGCCTCCCTCTCTGTGTCTCTCATAAATAAATAAATAAAAAATAAAAAGACATTTCTTCACTTCTTTTGTATGTCTTAAGGGCTATAAATTTCCCTCTCTGTGATGCTTTACATCAATTTATGCTTCATTTTCATTCATTTTGATGTATTTTTTATTCTCCTTGAGATTTCCTCATTGATTTATCAACTCTTCAAAAGTGTGTTGCTTCCTTTCCAAATACTTGGTCATTGTCGTGTTGTATAGCTAATGCTATAAGACAATAAAAAACAAATAAATGGTACATAGGTGGACAGTAAGATACAAAATTGCCTTTGTTCACAGATGACATGATCGTATACGTTGAAAACTCTAAAGAATCTATAAAACTAATGCAGTCAACCTCCATTTCCTTCCCCACTCTTCCAGGCTTAGGCAACCGCTAGTCTACTTTCTGTCTCTATAGATTTGTTTACTTTGCATAGTCTGTGTATCATGTGGTATGCAGTATTTCTGACAGGTCTGTTTCTTAGCATAATGTTTTTAAGGCTCCTCCATGCTGTAGCATGTACCAATACTTGATTCCTTTCTGCAGCCAAATAATATCCCATTGCATTGCACCACATTCTGCTTTATCAAATGATAAATATTTGCGTTGTTTCCACTTTTTGGCTATTTTGAATAACAGTACTATGAATATTAATGTATAAGCCCACATGTGGATTTATGTTTTCATTTCTCATAGATATATACTTAGGACAGGCAAGAGT